TTCATACTACTGTTGCAAGGGGACTTTATGTCTCTAAGAGAGCTCGTTTGGATATCCATCCAACGATTACTATTCTTGCCTCGAGAGTTCGAGAACCTACAGAGTCTGATTGGAAGAAGTGTGTTCGAATGATGCGATATTTGTTTTGTACATTGTTGTATCACCTGACACTTTCCGCAGAATCACTACGAGTCATGAAATGGATGATCGACGCATCTTTTGCGGTGCATCCAGATTTCAAGAGCCATACTGGCGGCACTCTGTCCTTTGGAAGAGGTGCAGCTCAAGTGATGTCAAAGAAGCAAAAGCTAAACAACAGAAGCCGTACGGAAGCGGAACTGATTGCTGTTGACAATGTTATCACAATGATACTATGGACAAAGTTGTTCAAGGAGTGGCAAGGGTATCCGATCAAGAAGAATATCTTGTATCAGGATAACAAAAGCCCGATTCTACTGGAAGAGAATGGTCGCACGTGCACGGGCAAAAGAAGCCGGGCTTCAACATTTGTTATTTCTTTATCACAGATCAAGTTGAGAAAGGAAATGTTAAGATCGAATACTGTCCAACTGACAATATGATTGCGGATTTCATGACTAAGTCATTGCAAGGTGAGAAGTTTTGTAAGTTCAGGGATCTGATTCTTGGTCCACAGGACTAGGTCAGACAAGTATGTATATGTTCAGAAGAAAATACAAAACAAATTAAACAGTGAATGAGAGCATGTCCCATTGCTGCCAATGGTGATTGTCACAATGGCAGGAGTGTGTTGGGATATGACAACATATGAGTTTTTATGTTCCAAAAAGAAACTAGTCAAGTACAAAGTTTTCGACACGTACGACCAGACTTTGATCATGATGTCGGGATCCACACAAAAGGGAATGGCCCTATACAAGTGTGATATTGGTGTTGTGTATGATGCAGTAGGGAGTAATACAAGATGTCCCAAAGTACTGCATTCAACACAGAAAAATGGTTGAACTTACTTTTGTGATTGAATCATCAATTCAAGCCAAACATTAATCAAATAGGAACAATTTCACTCAAAGTATACCTAGACACAGGAGAACTATTGTCCTGAAAGTGTTGTACAGCTGATTACAAATTTAGATTGCAGAGAGTTTGTTCTGAGCGCTAAAGGCACTCACAATAAAGCACATTTTGCTTTATTCTAACATCCTGACCATGAATCATACTAAATTGTTTCAGCAAATGGTTCAATTCTGCGCCATTGAGGTTACCAGAACGTCTTCCATGCGTTTTTCCCATAGGGAACAGCCATGGAAAGGTACACGCCAGCATCTCATCATCTGGCAAGAACTCATGAATTGGGTCTTGGCGTCATGCAATATGACAAAAGAGTTGTTATGCCTGTCTCTTCCTTCTGATTCATGTTCTCCAAACCATCCCGGTGCAACATCGTCTGACTCCATTTGATGCTGGCTCACAGTCCTGCTTTCATCAACACTTTTCATCATGTTTTGAATAGCATCATTCTCAATTTGCTTGCAGATGCTCTCCGTGGTGATTGACTGACATAATGCAGCAACTTAAGAGGGAGATCCTCATTGCTACTTGGATGCCTGGAACCCTCAATTTGTGACGTTGATGTTCCTCCAAAGTAATCATGCTGGTAACTATTTGACATGGAGTCCACCTGATGGGCACTAGCAACATCATATCAGAGCCAAGACGTTTTTCATGCAGAAGACTCTGCTTGTCAATGAGAACTGAGTTGTTAATTGTTAATATGCTACTCTGTGGGCATTCACTTGCCGGTGAAATATTTGGAGGTAAAGGTCAAGTACTGTGAAGCGGTGAGTCAACAACAAGTTTGAACCATATGAGGCATCTGTAGCATGAACTGAAGTTGTTCAAGTCTACCAAAGGGGTAAAGAGTTCTCCCGCGACGTGGCGGGGTGAATTAGGGGCTCATAAGGTCCTGCAAAAGGTCAGGGTCCAGGGGGAAAAATGGTCTGCAGACTGCGGGGTTGTGCTTTCATGGAGTGGCAAAAGTCTCTGCGCTCCTGACAAAGCAACTTGAGCCACTCTTCTTTGTCCACCAACGACTTGTGAAGGACTCCTCGACGGCTGGTTAGCATTGGTTGAATTTCCCTAGGCAAGTCATCAGGACCCATATCAAGCTGTGAGTGAATCCCTTCATTGACAGTGCTTTGGCGTTCACGTACCCTAACCCCAACCCTGAACAGAGTTCCGTTGCTCCCACATGTAGAAGCCATTCGAGATCAGCTGTTGTGAGAGGCGGGACGCCCAGAGAGAGACAGATTGACAACATCTGATCTTGTCATAATGTTGTTGTTGGAGTGGTAGCCAAGACAAGGCTATGCGTCCCTCCAAAAGACCTTGAGACCCAGTCACCTGTTGAGCCAAGAAAGCCGGCCGAACTGAAGGAGAGATGGTCCAAGGAGAGGGCAAAGTAGGAAGCTGTAGGATCGCTTTTTTATGGAAGGGCCCGTCAATTGCAGGTCCAGCCACGCGGAGAAGGCTGCAGTGCAACGGTCCCATTCAGCAGTTGCCAAAGCAGCACGGCAACGGGGAACGTGGAGATGGTCCTCAAAGTTGCCACAGCATGGACAAGCTGCCAATGTCTCCAAACCCCATAGGACTTTAAATTTACCTGTACCACACATACCCACACAGTGTTTAGTAGACCACCTATGTAGCTGTGCAGGGAGAGATTGCATGGCGCGACGCAGTGTGTCCCAGGCAATCTCAGACTTGGCTTCGAGGGAGATAGTACCTTTGTCCTTCCAGCGCAAGCGGAGGGCGGGATGGGTCACGCACTCTTGGATGAACTGAGGATCATGCTTGGTGTCTGCCATGTTCAATGCCGCAATTTAAGTGAAGAATCGAGGATTGACGGCTATGCTCATGAGATGATTGGCCGCCTCAAGTTCCTTACGGTACTCCACCGCCATTCCATCGTTCTCAAGGTTCCGTTTCTCCCACCAAGACAATTTGTCAAAGATATTGGACTTGTCAAGATGGCCATACACATGCTGGGGCCACCAATCCATAGAGTACCGGAGGATAGCTTCCCAAATGGTTGACACCAAGTCAAACTGGGCGTCAGTTGGAGAAAGTCGGCGATCTTTGAAAGCCATCTCAATGGCAGAGAGACTGTCACAAGCAATCCGCACCTTGGGGCGTGTCAAAAGGTTTGGAGCCCATTGCTTAAGGAGCCAATCAACCGCCATGATACCTGCCAACAGCCAGATGAACTTTCTGTGGTATGGGCTCTGATCCTGGGGCAAACTGGTGGTCTGACACTGGATGATGATTTGATCTGACCCTCCATGCTTCACCAAGAGTTGGACTGTAAGTAAAACTTTTTGAATTCGTCTCTTGGCATTTTGAATGTTTGAATCTAAAACAAATAAATTTCAAAATGCCAAAGAGGAAAAAGACAACAAAACCCAAGAAGTTGAAGTTGAATGATAAGGAATGGGGTGTATTCTTTGCCAGGCATGAGCGGACCTACATCCAAGTGACAAAACAGATGAGACAGAAGGAGCCCTGGCTTATCTACATGTATCGGGTGGACCACTTTGGAGAAGAAAATCCCATCAAGGTCTATGAACCTGGCGAAACATATGTGGAAAGAAAGAAGAGACTCGAAGCTAAACACGACAAACACAAGAAGAATCTTCATGAACGAATGACAACTGCGGAGATAAATGCAGGAGAACAATCAACCCTGACCGACTGTTTCTTTCTACCAAAGAAAAAGAAAAGAACGTAGCAAAATTTTAAAATAGTGTTTACAGTTTTATTTCTGCTGGCCTAAGTTCATTCTATCTCTTCCATGATGTTGCGGTTTGTATTGCCCTCGACTTCCATTCTTTTCCGATAGTTGCATGCTTTTTGTAACATCAACTTTTGTGTGCAATCGACTTAGTCATCTCCCAAAAATTAAGTTTTTCCACCTTTTTTGACCTTTTTTCCAACTTTTTCTACGACTTTGCTGCCCAAGAGACTGACAGATCAGTCATTTCCTGGTGTTTTGCGGCAGTCGTATCAAAACTCCTAACAACAACAATATGGGAATGGAGGGGTTCGGGGCACAGCCGTAGGATTCCTGACGCCCCAACTGTGGCTAAACTACTCCATGAACTCAATATGGATTATATAGCTACGTTTGGGTGCAAACGAAGCGCAGCTGCCCTCCAAATTTTTTCATGAAGTTTTTTGCAAGCCATGGAGGAGGTTTGCAGATTGGAGAGTCGACATAATAATTGGCCCGGTTTTCAGTTGGATTTCTCATGCAATGTATTTTGAAGCTATTTTGTTCTACAATCAGCTTGGTGGGCTTGGCCAAAGCATCTCGGTTTGAAATTGAAGGTGGAAACCGCCCTTTTCCGATTCCGATTCAGCCAATTCCGATACAAGTGGTGGGCACACATCAATCAGCTGGATTATTGTTGCGACTTGACGGCCTTAATCTTCAAGAACTTGCGGCTCTAGTGGTACCCTTAGATCTTTTGCGAAGCTAGTTGGCCAGCAACAGTTGCCTTTTGTATTATCCAAGTTGAATTGCGGGATCTTTTGAGACAACAGCTACCCTTTGGAAAAGCAACAACCAACCGTACTATCCTTCAAGCGTCAAACATCGAAGACAACCCAAACTCAAATAATAAAAGTGTTTTCAAGATGTGAAGGACTACTGGTACCAGGTACCTGGTGCCTACGGTACATTTGTACGTACCGATTTTTGCAGTACGATTGCACGCAAGCCTGCCCATATCATAGCCCATGCACATACATTTCAAATCGAACCGTTAACATTCGATTGAGTCGGATTTAAAAATTGACTCCTGTGATTTGATTAGATTGTATTCCTGTGGAAGAAACTAAGAGGTAACAGGCCTCGTCTCTTGCACCATATGACCTTGTTCCCATTACAATTTGTGATAAATTTCCGGGCGATATTTTTATTATGTATCTTTCCTAGATCTGTGCATACTCTGAATCAAAGTTCTTTCAGTAGAATTGATAATATTAAGGAATTCCACAAAGTCAATTGAGGAGTAGGAAAGGAAGAAAAAATTATGCTGGCCTAGAATTTTTTTTTTTGCCAGAGCCCTCCAAACCACCGCCCAAATTCGATTACTATATGTATTTTGACAACTTTGAACTTGGTGCCATCGTGTCAGGGTATGGATTCCAGCCACTCTCTTTAATGAACCTGGATTGATCCTCAATGCAGTGTGAGTGCTATTCAATCATTTTTACCTAAAAAGCGTCCACTCCAAAGCCACCGATCTTCTCATACATACCCATGGACGACAAATATGTGTTAGAACAAGTCATTTTTAGGAAATTCGGCCCACACCACCACTAAGTGGCTTTTTGGACAAGATTTCCATGATTTCTGACCCCATTTGGGCGGCATGATTCTTAATCTAGGCGGAACCACTGCCTGGGTCCCAGAAAATTTGAGTATTAGGCATCCAAGGGAGGCTCTGGTGTATTGTTGAATAGTTGGCTGTCTCCAGGGCGGCCACACCGACCCTCATGCTGAAAGGGGAACAGACAGCACCAAACACTGGAATTCCAATATCTCAGCAAGTAACCCAAACAAAACACATCCGAATGGAGCCCCGAGTAGGTAGGGTCACTGCCGAGCTTTCCAACACATGTTGAATGTGAGGCATTGGCCCTCCTGACTTTCTGCCGACCAGTTTTTGCAACCTGACAGAACCAGTCGAACAAAACAGGGTAGATTGTAGTGTAATTGAGGCGATTGGAAGTATGAATCGCCACTCCAGCCATAGTCTATCTATCAATTACGCTTGTCACAGCATGTTCGGAGGTTTTTACTTCTCTGGGCGTTCACACTGGCTTATCCAAACGTGGGGAACAATCGCACCATGGCACCTTGATGTGCTCCAAATCGTCAATTTTGGTAGTTGAGATCCCAAAAATATACATTTGCGTAGATCTTGGTCTTGATGGCGACGGTAGATATGAGTCGCATTCGTCAAATACGTCTTCTTGACACCTATCCGTCCAGTCTAAGCACAAAACAGAACCAATCATGGTGGATTATTGTGTGATTGCGGCCCAGCAAACATTATTCAACATAAATACCGCCGCTCCCGACGTAACGCATGTATCAATTATGCTTGCCACAACCTCTAATTCCACTTTCTCCGCTCATGGGGTCCAGACCGTGCAATTTCATTGTCACCGACGAATTTGCAACTCAATGGTCTCCGTTGAAAATCGTCCTGTAGAAACCCATATAAAAACACATAAAATGGTATCATTGCCTTTCGTATAACAAGAGAAGTAACTTCCGCAGAAAATTCGAGCTCTATGTTGCCTTGGGACTTCGTAGACGTCCCGAAACCTCTCCAAAAGTAGTTTTCAGACCTTTTGGAGGTACTTCAGCAGTGATTTCAGAGGCAAATAGGGCAAATTCCTCCATGTCGCTTCGTATACACAAAATATATATGACTATAATATAGACAATGTCAGGGGTTCGAGGGAATTTCTAGCAGTGGATGATGAGTTCATTGGCCTCAAGCTTACCATTTCCACTTTTCAAACGGAGACATCAAATAAATACGTCTGCGCAATGGATATCGGTGGAGACATTCGGAGCTCGCAAGAGCTCTTCACGATGTCAATTTATTCATGTGCATCACTTTCGCAGAAAATACGTCGATCAAAAAGCGAAGAATCAAGGGAATGGGAGAAAGGGAGTTTTCAAGGCAAAAAGGGAATAAGGGAGAAAACAAGGGAAACAACGGTTGAATGCTGGACAAAACGTCCCTTGTTCCCTCGAATGCTCCCTCGTTCCCGAACTTCTCGTCAGCAGTGTACCGTCCAATTTGGGTTTATTGTTGCCGAGATATCCACCTCTGAAGATGGTCCCAAAACTCATGTCATGTCTTGTTTGTCTACTAGTTTGTCTTCATGTTCTCGTCCGTTTTTACGTGTTTCCGCACAATTGGACATTCTACGTAGTTTCTACAATAGTGGTAGTCAAAGTATGCGATACGACTATTTTTTGTTTTTTTTAATCAACCAATAGAATCGCAGGGTTTTCATGAGAACTTTGAATACCCCATTTTTGGGTCATTTTGATGACACGATACGAATGTATTTTGGAAAAACTTCAGTAGTTCAGAACTACGATGTTTCGCGTAAAACCTTTTTCACTAGATATTTTCCTAAGTGCTTCCCGACGTATCGCTCCTCTTGATTTCTGTGGCAATGTTGTATGTAGAAGACTTGTCAACAGCATTGATATGTTTCAACAACGTAATGTTGATGTCAGAAGTGATGTGGAGCTTCCAAGAGTGCGATCAGTCATGGAATAGAAATAGCACAACCAAACCTTGTGATTTGACTTTTGGCCAGGTATACTTCGAGAATTAGTGCAGACTTGAAATAGAAATGTGATGACCCAACTATTCATGTGATTTATTTTGGGCTGCGTTTATTCATAAAGAAGCGCTCTCATACCATATATCCATAATTCGAGAAGGACTCAGATTCTTTTTTATATGCAGAATTTCAAAACATAAAAAATAGTTGTGTTGTGTCCCGAAAAAAAAAATCGTATCGTGCCCCAAATGGACACTTCTAAATTTTAGTTGTGGACACGATACGACTATTTTTTGTTTTTTTTCAGCCAATCACAGCCTCCCAAAACTCAAAAAATAGTCGTATCGCGTATTAATACTTTGACTACCACTAATATATTTGATTTTGGTCATCACATGTTTCCATGGCGTTGGTCATCACGTTTTCCAGTACATCCTACGTAATTTCTATGTTAGATATGACTAAGTGGACCAAAAATTGACGAGTTTCCGCCAAAGCTGCCATCGGGTAAAACACAACATTCATCATTGCAATGGAGTTGGATGACAACCATATCCAAGACATAGCCGCAGCTTGTCTTACTGAGACAAATTGTACCATTTTGCAATCTCCTGCTGGTGCTCTGTGCTTTTGTGGAAAACAATTGTCCAATAGCTATCTGAGCCGGCACTGGAAGACATAACCAATTGTAAAGGCATCAGAAGGCGCCATCACTAAGGACAAAGTAAAATACGTCTACAATGCTGAGCCCAAGCAAATGAAGGGTTTTCTCTGTGTGCCATGCGGGCAAATTTACAAGAGTAAAAGCTCTTTTGCCAAGCATTTTCGCCGTGGCAACGAGATCAAGTGCACAAAGGATAAATATAATTGGGAGCGGGAGTGCATGGCCTACCACACGCTCCACTACATTGGTCCGGTGCCAGGGAAGTCTGATGAGCTTTTGGAGGAGAGATCATGGCAAAAGGAAAAAGACAAAGGGGTACAACAAGATAATGCCGCTGGGCCACTACAGGAAGAACTATCAGATGAGGCAATTCTTTTAATGCTTGGAAAACATTCTGATTTGCTCCAAGAAACTCTGACTGGCTCTTTTAAATGTCCGGATTGTTTGGCTGCAGTGTTGCTTCCATTTGTGAACTCAACAATAGGGTTGACACCGCCAGGTAGTTTTGTGCAAGCTGGAATCGATCAAGTTCGAGATGATTGCAGGAGTCCCAAGGCATTTGTTGCCAGTGCGGATGAGTGGCTTCGGAGGTATTCTGGAAAAATGATTGCATCTTTGCCAGGGAATGTTCGCTATGAAATGTTGGCATTTCGACTTGACACTGAATATTATAGGGTCTTTTACAAAAAGGAAAGGGGTAGGGATAGGTAAAATTCAAAGGCTTGCAGGTCATGATTCCAAACAGTCGCGGAAAACGAGTGGCCTAGGCCCCCCAAAAATCTGCGACATGTCAGATGTCACATATTGAATATCTGCACAACCAAAGAATGGCCAAACAGTCGCGCAACCAAAGAATGGCCAAACAGTCGCGGAAAAGACCCCTCAATTTCTGCGGTTGCTGAAGACATGCAATCGACTTGATTCACTACTCTAACTCTTGGCCATCTAAAAACTTTTGAACATGCTTAGCAAAACAAAGAAAAATACACAGGATCCAGGGAGATGCATCTGTGAACTCAAAAATATTACTACTTTTATAATCGATTCACATTTACCATAGCATTTGCTGACAGCCCAAGAATTCAACAATAACTAAATTCAATTCCATTCAATTCACTGAGACAACCAAACGATCCATAAAGAGTCACAGGAGTTGATTGTTCAGGATCGTTTGTGAGGAGTCAGAAGCAGTAATTCTAGGGCAACGATTTGATTGTTGATGTGTGAGGTTTGACAAGCGAAGCTGGAAAATGAATCAAAGCATGCAGCTCTCGGCTCGCCTGCACAATCTTGTACTTTGAATTTTTGTACACGCTTGCTTACCCACAATTGACTTAGTCGACCGTTTCCATCATGGAATCGATTGCAACCTGAATTGTAGTCCTTTTGATCAAAGGACAGTCACACACGTGCTTAGATTCAAAAAGACCCGCCTTTTCAATCGTTCAAATGACCAAGTCTCGAATATTCAAACTTTGCTACACGCCTGCCTGCAAGATCCATTCAAGGGTCGTCTTTTTTTGTGACAAATTTTGTCACAAAAAAAGACGACTGTTGGAAGCACATTTGAAGCGGCATGTCAGAATCAGATTCTGAAGACAAAGAACCCCAAAGCAGAAGTGAGAAATTTGCAGTAAAATATATTGATTCATTGTCTGCTATAACTGGTGATGGATCCAGTATTGCTAGTGAATGGAACAAGGAAGATAAAGAAAGCAACAACTTCGATTTTGATAAGTCTCAGATCACTCATCTCCTGAAAGCAAACAAGGCTGTCATGAGGAGCTTTGGAACAACCAGTATATGGCTGTCACTCCTAAGGAAAAGGACATTGAATCAGCTATCGACATCTTGTTCCCAAAGTGGAGTGAACAGGAAGAGGTTGAATGTGCTGGCAATCTATCCTTTGAGTTATTATTCATGGCTATGTGTCAGACCTTTGACCTCACCACTGTGGGCGGCTGGTTGAAATTATTGAAGAGGCTGGTTGTCAACAAATCTCCTCCACGCATGCAAAACATACAGGTGCTGAGGTGCTACACGTCACTTATTTTTGCGAACAGGGTCAACTTGAGCGTGGCCCTTCTAACTGGAGAGGAATTTGTATTTGCATTGAAGCAACAAACAATGTCTGCAGCTGAGAACTTGCTTCCAGATAGAGGCCAAAAAGAAGTTTGTACTTCTTTCAGATTGCTTAAGGACGACTTTGGACTGGATTATCCACGGCTAAAACGATACAGCCATCAACAGCGAGCTCTTATTGCTGAATCTTCAGAGTCCGCATCTCTCAAAGATTTTGTGATAGAAAATGCGTTGCGAATAACGGAGATCGGATCTAATTTTGTTGCTAAAGTCAATGAAACGACAGATCTGGACCAATACACAATTTACTTGCAAGAGAATCATGAATTTGCTTTAAACCTGCTGTTGGAAGTTGTTGAATACAACTCTCAAGTTTGGGCGATTGTCAACTCACATGTGAAAAGGTACTTGGTCCAGAACGGAAGAGAGGGTGAGGTATATGGCAAAGGATATCCTCCTTGTGAAGAATTTCTCAAAAAGATGAAGGCTAGCAGATTCAATGCAGCACCATCAAGGAAAAAAGTCGCAAAAGAAGTGGCGTTGGTCATCCATCTGCTGACGCAATTTGACGATCGTGCTAGCGCATCAGCACTGTTTTTCCTGCTCTGCAAGGACACAGAGGTAATTGGATTGTTGTTCCTTGTTTTTAAATGCTGGTTCAGCTTTCTTACAACAGCTTTGTCAGTGTGTCTTTCTGCCCCCTGGATGCACAAACCAATTGAGCTTAAATTTGTCATGTTATGTTTCGTTCTGGGATGACTTTTTCAAAGCAAGGCAGAATATTGCCGAAATTGTGTACTGCACCTACGAAGCGAAAAAGAAGGGAAAGGTAAAGGCATCCAAGAAGATTCTTCAGGACATGCTTGCAAGAAAATTATCCAAGGAATTGCTTGATGCAATTGAAAAGCATGGAAAAGGTTTTGTAAGTATGATTATCCACTCCTTGTTGGCGTCCTTACCAAGAAAGAGACAGCCACCAAGGTATGCACTATCATGGAACTTCTATTCATGGTCGCTGCTGAAAGCAGTCAAGAGCGCACTCATAATCACATTCATCTTGGCTCCGCCCTGACTACCATGCAACTTGGATCCGATATTGAGTTTGCAAAACGGCTTAATGCCAGCAAGCTCCTTGCCTTCAGTCACCACAACCAGCGCAGTGACAAAAGTCTTGAGTGTTGCATCACCCAATTCTGTAATGGAAGTCCTAGGTTGCTGTCACAGATTGAAGAGTATTTGAGGGGGAAGGAAGTCACAAATGATGCAAAGAAAGCACAGCAGGCACACAAAAAGAAGGCAAGAGGTTCGCACACCAATAGTAGATCAACCAGCACCCCTACCAGCAAGGAGGCAGAGGAGTCGGACCAAGGAGAAACTACAACACCAACCCAAGATTCGAGGATGTCACATGTTGATGCTCGAGAAGAAGAAGGAACAGACTCTGGACCTGATGAAAACGATGACACAAATGACTTGCAACTAAGCACTGGCAAGAAACGGCCAAGAGAGGACAATGATGAAGAAGCGAGGACTAGCTTGGAGGACGAGGCTTCAGTGGCAGCAGAAGTTGCAGAGCGCAAGATGGCACTTGACAGGAAAGAGCAAGAGTTGCTCATCCGAGAAAAATTCCTCCAAGAAAAGGAGGAACGCCTCAAGGCGGAGCAGCAAGCATTTGACAACGGGAAAGATGAAGAGCTGCAGAAGAGTCAACTTGACAAGAAAAGGCGAGATTTACTCACCCTTGAAGAAGCCCTTCGAGAAAAGGAGCAACAACTCGAGAAACAGAAAGAAGCACAGAAGAAGAAGGTCAAGAAACTAAAAGATGAAAATAAAAGTGTGAACGATATTTGACGATGTTCAATAAAGTACTGCAAAAAGCTGGACTGCCCTGTCCGCTTGGTGACATGTTCCGTTTGCAGGTAATGAAAGAGACAGAGGAGGACAAAGAAAATAGATCAAAGGGGAGCCTGAGCCCTTCAAGTGTGAACCAGGATTTTACCGGATTGCATCAAAGTAGAAGACCAAAGAAGCGAAAGGTTGAGGCAGAAGAACAGTAACTGCAGGCATTACCATTATATAAAATAATTATACATGATACATTTTCTTGCGCTTGCTCGTATCATTCGCTTCAATCAAAGTCCCAACGAATTGAATTTGAGCCACCAACCTTGTATTTTGAAAATTCCTTCACCGCGGTGTCAGCTTTTGCCTGTCTCTCTGCATTGGAAAGACCTTCTGTTTGTATCGCCCTAGTATGACTTGCCACAAGTTCACGAAGGCCTACAATGTACCGGAATAGTTCCATTGACGCAATTCCATAACACGAATACACTGAAAGCGCAACACCATATTGCTTCACCTGTAGTGCTCGTTGCTGAATATCGAGGAGGTTGCTAGAGACAGCATCCATATCCCCAAGGTGAATCCAGGCATCGGAAAGTGACCTTACGCGTGGGTTACAAATATCCTTTGGTGGTTTCAACTGCTTGATAGCGTGATCAAAGAGGTCAGGTTTTAATTTGTCTTTTGACCCAAGTGACTTTAGCTTGACATAGAGTTGTGAATAATCCCAGTTTGCCTGTCCATCCATCAGGTGGCCGTCGATAAGCCTTAGAGGTATGTCCAGGTGAGTAGTGAACAATTTGTCCATGGATTTTTTTGATTCCTTTTTTACCCACACAGATGGCGCAAACCCAATCTGAGCGATGATGTCTTTGTCACACTTTGCGTCGCCCCCTTGATTCTTGCAGATCCAGAAAATTGCAGCCTGTAGAAGGAAAATATGGGTCACATTATGACAAGCAGGGACTGAATTTGATACATCGGGGGGCAGCACTCTTGCTAATTCTTCTGTATAGTATCCAGTCTGAACATTAAGGAAAGTGGCCACAAATTTGTCACGTTTTGGTTGGTCAGCATCCTCTGATGATGACCTGGCTTGAGGCAGCTGTGAGTTCCTGACAGAAACCAGGCCTGCTTGTACATTGTACTCTACAATCCGCATTGTCCATGATGCCTCTAGCTTTGATGGCATTGTGTTCCAGAGAAATGGTTGGTTGTGGCAAGTAGCTTGTGGCACATTAGCAACTGCAGCTGCAAGGTAATGCTTAAATGCAAACCACGTTGCAAATGGATTCTGCCCATAGTAGCTACTGGTCACCTCTGCTGGATCACTCAACTTGTCAAAGAGAGTTTTGATGAAGCGCAGAAGGAACGAATACCCAGCCTTAGCCCAATCTGGAGAGACCTGGGCAACAGAGATGTTACTCAACTCCTCCATCTTCTCATGCCCAGTAATCAGGCGAAAATTGCTCTCTTTCCCCAACAATGAAAAGAAAGGGTCGTTTCAGAATACAGATGGACAGGCATATGTACAAATCAACCAACACATACCTGAATTGCCCAATTTTCGTCCAACTTTTTGACGCCAACTTGCTCTTCCACTGCTGCCTTCCATTCATAAAACTGATCACATGTCCACACGGCTTCAAGGTTTTTTGCCATCATGTTCCAGTCTGCCTTCTTCACTTTCCTTGCCTTTGCACTGGTACAAGGTGAAGCCTTCAAAACTTTCTCAAAACGCCCAACAAGCCTGCGGGAAGCCTCAAACTTGTGGTAAGCCAGAATCTGAGTTGCCAGCAGTCTGAACAAGACTTTGGTCGATGCAATGTCCCTTCCGATACAACTCCAGTCCACCTCTTCAGATTCTAATACCTCATCGCCAGCCTGGGACTTGTTGCTTGCCTCGAGAAACGCCCAAAATAGTAGGCGACATATTGCACGGACTATTGTGGCATGCCTTAGATTTGGAAGACATTTTAGGAGTGATGCTGATACCCCTGGCTCGTCGAAGAGTAGGTTGGATATTGCTTCAAGGTTTGTTGGAATTGGCCCTGAGAATTGGCCTGGAGCATTGCACACAACGGATATCAGTTTGGGGTCTACCTCAAATAGAAGATTTAGAAGCCCATCATTTCCTGGCATCCTCAAAAAGTATGGAGAGATCATCCAGAAGAATTCGTCGTACAACCGTGATTTGAGCTGGAGCTCTTTATCAAAACTGGCTTTCAATAGTGTGCCTCTGCCATGCCCTCCCTGGCCACAAAAGAGGATCAAAGATTCCATTAGCGCGACAAGTGGAGCAAACTCTCCTTGTCTCACGTTCTCCACCGCGCCTTTATGGTTTTCAAGCAAAGCGATGAATTTTTCTAGGGGCTCCTTGTGCATTTGGAATATACCTGACAATGATTCTGCCAGGTGTTCTTGCTTCACAAAGGCAAGGCAGTTCAAGGGAGTGAGTGTGGTTGTCACTGGGGGCTGTATTGGGTGGCCCTGATAAGCCATCCGCACAATCACCCGAGGCAGTTATCGGGCCTCTTCCCAGAACTTTTTTTTAATACTTAATCTCGAAAAGCAAATAGAACTGAATTATTGTTGCAGCTCGTGGATTCTGTGCCGCATAATCAATGTCCACGCTTTGATGGTCATCATCCTCATCCGGCTGGTATGTATCTGTCGAAGTTGCGTTCATTGCCAGTGTATCACGCTTGATTTGACAGCCACCAAACTCCCCAGTTGTCCCAAACTTTGGAAATTGTATCCGACCTTCTAACAAGGCCACTCGCTCAAGAAGAGCAAGGTCACAAAACAAATTATCATCATCATCATCATCATCATCATCATCATCATCATCATCATCATCATCATCATCATCATCATCATCATCATCATCACCATCACCATCATAATCACCATAATCACCATAATCACCATAATCATCATAATCATCATCCTCCTCATCACCATACTCATCTTCATCATCTACTTTATCGAATATTTGTTGGGCTGCACTTGCCCTTGTTTTCACTGCCTCTGCAATTGTTAACTTTGCCAACTTTCCACAAGGAAGGACCTGCCAATCCCCTTTGCAGTGGACAATAACCGCAATATCAATTGCACAACGTGTTGATGCATGATACGAAACGTCCTGCCGGAAGAAGCGCCTTTTGGCTAATTCATGGGTCTCCACGACCTTACCTCGTACCCAATCATTGCATTCTACTCGCTGTTGGATGGGACAGAAATCACATTTGCGCTGGACGCTATCCTTGTCTCCTAAGCGCTCTCTCCACTTATGTTTGAATCCAGCACCCTGCAGAAGGAAAACAGAACAATAGTACAGTGCATGGGCAGAGTCCTCATCAGTCTCTTCCAATTCGAATTCAGCATCGGCAATAGCCCCAAGAAGAAACCAAACCAAAGCTAGATGCAGTGATGTGACCGAAGCGCTAATCGACTCTATCCCTTGATCTTTTTCACCAGCCTCCCCAAATCCATACGACCCAGAAGCAACAAGGCGGTAAAGGTTGACAGTACTATTCATATCGTCATCACCAAAATCAAGGCCCAGTTTTTCGTTTCTGTGAAGATGTAAAATGCTTCTTTTGGAACAGCCATATGCCCACCTATTAACGGCATTCCATGTATTTATGATGTCTTGGTGACAAGATTGACCAACTGCTGTTTCCATAAGCACGTGAACCGACAAATACATTGATATTCCATTGAAATAAATCTTCCCGATGGTGAAAGAAGGGAATTGATCCAATGGGGTTGGGCCTTTCATGACAACATCACCCTTTGATGGTCTGAGCCCGCCTGTCCTGCTCTTCCTGCTCTTTCTGACACCACCCCGGGCGCGGTACGGTTTGTTATTTGCGCTCGCTTTTTTGAAATGAAAACCTGACTGCCTCAAGAAACCAATATCCGGTAAATTTTGTGTAGCCAAATTCATGGAATCAGCATCATATCCATATTGCAATGCATCTTTGCTTGGGCCTTCAGAGGCATCCAAGTATCCCTTTAGATCCAAACGTTCGAACATACGGATCTTTTCTTTGTACTGCTCTCGGAGTCGTTTCAGATCCGGGTCATTTATCGCCCCCATTCCTTCGGCGTCATTTCCTGGCCTGTCGTTGCCATCTGGGCTTGTTGCCGTCTGGGCTGGAGAGGAATGTGGGTCTGAATAGTCATCACTGCTTGAGGACGAGTCGAATTCACTGCGTCGTCGTGGCACATAGCTCCCTGCTGCTGGTGTCATAGCAGTGGATTCGGAGCCTGATGAATCACTGCTTGAGACCAAAGAAGTCGAAGAGCTACCAGTACTAGAGGATGAAGAGACATCAAGTTGGGTGGCCAAGGCACCACTGCTGCTTGAGGACGAGGACGAGGATGAGACTAATGCATGACGCACTTTTGGCATATAGCCCTCTGGAAGTTGTCGTCGTGAAGATAGATGTGGCAAAGAGTCAGCAGTAAACAAAATGTTTGTCACTGGTGGGTTGCTCGTCTCATCATGATTTGGTATGAGATTCTACTGCTGGTGGTGTTATACGCCGTCGTTTACGTCGAAAAGAGAGTGCTGGAGTTGATAGTGGATCGTTGTGGACAATATGAAGATCGGATGCCACTTGCCATGTGTCGTTGTTTTCCCACTTTACAAGTACATCACCGTCCGTCTTGACTTCCAACACAGTCCCAACATGTGTAGTACTCTTCCTATAGGTCACCTCGTCACCCTCTTTGAAAACAGGCATAGCAGATAGCAGTATTCTGTAGAATGACTTCACGTGAGTTGCAATTGTTAGAAATGCAATGAGTAGCAAAGCAGCGCTGCAAGGCGCGCCGGTTTTTGCGTGCCGTAAGCACCAACGGGGGTATTGGAATTCATTCCAACCCCCATTTGCTCCGGGTCACTTCAACACTCCACATGTTTTGCTCACCACCGCCAACAACACTCCACAGCAAAACGATGGAACCAATTAGTAGCAGGAAGGAAATCTTGGGTCTTTTTTGTTCCAAGTATGGTGTTAATGTTGAAAATGTTGGAAACGAGATCCTCTATCCTCCTCCAAGTCAGCATAATGCTTCCAAAAATGACAGCGCCAACATGAAAATCCCCAATTTGATTGATGCCCAGGCTGCAGTTGAATGCATTACCGTGAATCGCTATGCTATGATGGCAGATGAAGAAACAAAGGGTTATTTCAGGTTGCATAAGCTAGATACTGGGCGGGAGGAGACACCAGTGACGACCAAAAACATTGCTGTTGCGTCTTCATATGGCACGATTTCTAGCATCCTGTTGGCGATGGTGTCACAAGCCTTGGTTATTCACAAAGATGAGAAGGGAGCATTTTCATTTCAGATTGGAGCACAGCCCAATTGGAATGCCCGAGGAATAGACCGTATAATGCGATATCTGGGATATTTGACGAGCACAAGCACAAAAGTTTGCTGTCTTTCTATTTGGGAAATCAAGGAACAAAGGAACGAGAGGACCACGAATTCGCTCTGGCGCCATATGCAACCAAAGGAGAATTCGAAGAGAAAGAGGCCCTGGTAATGTCATGGGGTGACAAGTTAGCCTCTCGAGGATGGAAGGAGTGCGATGCTGAGTCCTATGCATTAATGGCCAAACTTTATACTGATGATGCTTCGAAATTTAAAAACATGGGTGAACTTGACAAAGCTGGGGTTGCCATGTCGTTGTCTGAAATCCTCAATGGAATATTGGAAAACTATAAAGGCCTCGCCACCAAAGAAAGTATCCAAAAATTTGTTGCCAAGCTGTTGGAACTTTCGCCAATTGATCATTGGTCTACTGGAGCACTGAATTGGGAGTGCATTCATGATCTTGTTTTCATAGCAAAGGTCCTTTGGGTTGGTTTGGAATTGCCGTCTTTTGCAGCAATTGGAGGCCGGCACCGGCTTTTCACGTTGTGTCATCTTCTTCTTGGTTGGAAAGCCACCACCAATGGCAGCACACACGAATGCTTAGAAGCAAAACTTCCAAATACTCTAATTTGGTACCAAGCTCCGATACAAATTGTGGTGGGAAGAGATGAAGGCCTTTTGCGCAGTTTCAGTCTCCAACTACAGGACCAAACTAAGCATACAATCCCCATAATTCTTGGTAACTTTATGATTGACGTTTTGGGGAATTGCCAGAAGAGATCAAATCTGGATGCTTTGAAGAAAGGCCCAGATACTATGAAACTCTTTTGGGATGCAACAATCATGTGTCTGAAGTCAAATGAAGCATACAGAGAACTGACAAAGGCTGTACCAGGAAATAAAAGCAGTCTTCTTGACATTACACTTGACAGTAGAAAGCGGAACAAGAAGCTGTGGAACTCTTTCATGAAGTTTCTGTCCAAAGGCAAATATATGTTTCCAGCACGAGAAACAAATGAGCCTGTTACAACCATGCTTATTTTTTCAAATTCCACAAGCTTTGCTAAGATATTCCCTGAACTGAAAAAAGAAATCACAGATGTGTCCTTAAAAAAGCTTGAAAGCCTCGATTTGTATCTGAACAGCATCATCAACTTTGTAACCCCAACACTCATGACCTACTACATCTGGAGCGTAAGAAATGATAGGCAACCCAATCCCAGAAGCAACGGGGACATATATACCAAGCTCATCCTTGACCACCGGCTTGGCAGCATTCTATTCTGGGCACTGACAAAATGGGGATTGGAAATCCAAGGCAAAGACCAAAACCAAGGCAAGAACAAACCACTTTGGATTGACCCCGAGCCAATTTCAAAGGACTCTACAATCAAGTCGAATTTATTTTGCTACTTTCAACGGATGACTCTCCTCCTTGAGAGCGGGCGGTACAACTTTGATCACAATTTCGATGGCATCCAAGTCAAGAACCATGTCAGCGTCATCGCAAACATGAGGATAAATAGCCTCTTGGGATGTCCACCAAAAATGGTCCTAGCTATTGGAATGACAACCCTAGCGATTCCTCCTTTTCCCTTTCAGACCGCCAAAGATGAGAAGTCAGAAGTTATATTCGGATGCAATCTGTCCGACAAGGAACTTTGCGACTGGGTACGGCTGAGTAAGCTACATGAGACGCCAAATGTTCATGTTTTTACCATTTCGGACGACAAATGCTTAAACAACCACCCATATGGATTTCATCCTCATCTCCACAAAGAGTCGAACACCAAGGACGTCCATATTCTTGTGGAAAGAGCCAGAGACATGTTGAAATCTTATGGATTGAATGGCTTTGATCAAATCTGCTTTGATTACTTCATTGGGCAAACAATAAACGCCCGGACCAGTACTATTTGTGAGCTGGCCAAGTTGCTTAGTCCCGGTGGAGCACTGTATATGCTCAAACACAAAGAAGATTGGACTGGGGAAGTGGGTGCAGATGATACGTTCAGAGAGGCCAGGCTCAAGGTGGAAGACTTCAAGCTCGGCTCCGAACACTGGCTCTGGAATGCGACCAATGCTGTCCCTCCATGCTTCTTGAAATCTTCCGGCAACTCCTCAATTGAATCTCATCTCAAGATATCCATTGTCAGTACAAAGGAAAACGCCAGGCTATTCACTATAAATCGATTTCAATCAAACACAGATCACCAACCGGCTGCCCCCGAGATGCTCCCACCAGCAGGGAAAAGAGATGCTGAATTGGCGACATCGAATCCAAATGAAAATGGTTTTGAGATGGAGTTGGATATCAAGGGCGATGGCGCTTAACATCCATCTGACCCATTTTCCAAAACGTCAGCAAAGCGAAAGATGTTAGGCACAAGCATCGATGCCCAGGCAACCAAACGCACAACCCAGGAAGAGACGGCAGCCAAGAAGCCAAAGATGACGAAGCAACCAACAACGACAAAGCAGCCAAAAACGCCAATGAAGCCACCAAGCCGCTAACTGCGTCCGAGTCACCAACTGCCCTGGAGTCACCAGCGGCCCCAGCTACCCCAGAGTCACCAGCTGCCCCCAAGCCACCAACTGCCTCGGCCAAGAAGCCTAAGACTCGAAGGACTGACAGCAAATACTTCAAAAGGGGGGAAACTAGAACCTCAAACGCAGTATGGAAGATGACCAACGCCAAGCTACTGGACACCGCATACCCACCGCCCTACCTCAAGGGCGTCCTTTACATGTTGTGGTATTTGCACGGCGGCGGCTTGTTTACAAAAGAGACTTTACACAGTTTTCAGTCTTGTTTGCTACGTTGGTCTGAGAAGGAGCCAAATATCACGGAGGCTACAAGGCTAGAGAAGATACAAGAGCAGGTTGGTTCTTTCCAAGATTTTCACAAGCACAGTCTATTTCTCCCAAATGCGAAACATCCGTTCAATTTTGTGCTGATGAGGCCAGAGCTTCTAAAAGGAGTGGCCAGCCATCTCAAAATACAGGCAGAGAAAATGGTTTGGAAGCCAATTGAAATTGATCCATTTGAAGCCAGCAACTCATAGAAAAAATTATTTCAGAAAAGAAACAAAACACATTCCGGCAGAACCAACCAGTCTGCCTCGCGTAGCGCTAGTACTGAATTTACGTAGAAAACTTTCAAATTTATCACCAAGCCAACCATTCAACACCGGCGCACCATGGGCAAATCTATCAACGCGAAGGCATCCTCGGCGATGACAAAAAAGTTGGGCGTGTCTAAGATGAAAACGACCTCTGTGGCTAAAAAGTCCGTCAAGAAACGAGTGGAAATTGACCTACAACAGCCGAAAGACAGGGATCCCATCGATTCCAAGATGGTGTCTGCAACCCAAACTGAAGAGAAGCAGGCTACCGACAACAATGAAGCGCAACGCATGGCTGATGAGATTGAGGCGAAACGAATCGCCGAACGAGAAGCTCTCAGGAGTGGACATTACGACAACATTGTTCCAAACCTGTCGGAGTGGTGGATGAAGAATTTATATTCAGGAGATGCTGTCGACGAAGCATTGGAACGCCATGACCGTATCCATACGGGTAACGCGCTTTTTATGGCGTGGGAAGAACGTTTTTCTGCCGCTTGGAACCAACCCTGCCTCCGGTATGACGATCCATTATACGACAGCAACCTGTGAAGACCGTTTCGCCCGCATTTTCACATCAATGAATTTGGATAATAGTCAATTGACAAAGTACCTCATTGCCGCATTTGACCCTGAAACGATGGAAGTGAATCCGTCTGAAGAAATCTGGTCCTTACGCATTTTGGCCATGCAGATTTCTTTACAAAATCCGTTTTCCTTTTTCTGTATTGATGAGTTTGAGGGCAAACCGGACGACAACTATTTCTTTTCAGGCGAAATGTCCAATCCACGGCTACACTTGGAGCATCCCCTGGTGGGCTTTTGGTTAATTTGCTCCGAGTTGTTTGACTATCCTTGGATTAATGAGTTTCTGTTGGAGTATTACAACGACCCGCCATCCGCAATTGTCGACGCAATCAAACAAACAAGAAGTGGCCAGTCTCTCAACAAAGCTCCAAATCGAGTATCAGTGAAGGAACCGGATCCGCCTTGTATTCAAAAAATATACGATCTGATGTATTCTATTGACGAACCAGGCACGGATGTTCAAGGCGATTCCACCAGCTCCAAGGGGGACCAGGTGCAAAACTCAAATCGCTTTGCACCTCTACAAAGTGACGATTACTCGTCTGACGGTAGTGGAATTGAAGAAATCGACGAGGTTGAAGTGGTGGCGGTAAAAAAGAATGACTCCAAGGCTCTTGAGTCGTCGGATGAAGAGGAAGACACTGATGCTGACGACACTTACGACAGGGAGAACATTGTGGACGACGCAATGGAGGAAGACGATGATGACAAACGGGCTGGGGCGAACCCGCACGATGAGGCCATGGACAACAACACTCTACCGTTGACTTCTCCTAAACTTACGGCAACACAAGACTCAGCAGGTACAAGGACCCTTATGGAGCCCTCGGAAACAACTCCTTCTCGCGTTCAACGTCCCCCAACACTGGCCGAACGGATCTCGAACCTCGTTCAGGTGAACATGGAAGGGACACCAGGCAAATGTCACATCTTTGAGACTACTTTCGCCGTGGACTATCAAGGGTCGGGTTCAGGAACTGTGGCGGAGGCGCTCTTGTCGACAGTTCTGAACTCTATGGAGGAAGCCATCAACAATTCCCCTAATGAATTCAAGCTTCTTCCGATCTCTGATACCACATATAAGCAACCGAATCTTTGGACTCAAAACTCAGTAGATTTACGTAATCGCATTTCGACTTATCGCGCTCTGGCGACTTACTGTGATATGGAATACGGTAACTGTCCCTACGCGGCAACCAACAGCAAGCCGGGCAAGAAGAAACTACGCACACGCATTCGCGTTGGCTTCTCGGCTGAGGCTTTGGTCGAGGCCGTCCAAGACTATCTTCATACCGGATTACATCAATTGGGGAGAGGTGCTGGGTGCTACCCTTCTCCCTTGCAGTATGGAGAGATTGTGAAGATCGGATCATGCTCGTTTATTCCTGCAGAAGTCAACTTCTCAGCTTATGCAAAGGAGCTGATGAGACTATTTGATTTCGAAGTACTGATTGGTATCAAGATGGACTGGGTTTCTATTCCGTACACGGGCCGAGCAAAGTACGGCGAACGGTCCCCCGGAGTGACTAGTCCACATTGCTTCACTCGGAGGATTCATGCCAAGAGAGTTGATATAAAACTCAAAAATCAAAAAACAAAAACTAAAAGGTAGAAAATATTCTTCCACACGCTTCTTCAAAAACAAAACTGTACCAGTCCTACGCATTTCGTACGTCAAGGAAAACAGTTGTTGTTGTTGAAACAGGAATTAAATTTACACCAACATGAAGGATAGCATCGTGAACCCGCCGGAGAAGGACCCGAATTCGATCATGACTGTAGCTGACCAAGGTCAGGGAGGTC